GAGGTGGGGTAAACACATCTCTGCTTTAAGTAGAGCAAAGCATAAACYATGGAATAATTTAAGAACTATACTGAGACACTAACCCAGCTTCGGTTTAAAAAAAGCAAACCCCAGAATGATAAAGTCTGCATATAATTTAGTGTGAAATCATAGACTGATTATTGTGACAGAAGGCTCTTGGCGCACACTTTTTATGTCACATGAAAATAACCTTCATGCATTGCATGTGCCCTTTACATGCATAGCTTTTTGGCATTACAGCACAAGCAGCCAAGTGTGAAAGTATTAGTTAAACCTGATATAAAGACATGTTAAATCACCATGAATGCTGTCTACACAGCAGTAAATACATTTCTCTTAGAACACTGGCACGATGCARCAAAGGTTTAGCTTCTCTCATAGTGAGAGATGTGCTCTTTGCTTTGACAGTTACATATTTCAATATGAGCAGATTTACAACACATTCACAAATCATTGTGACTGAAGCTGGAAGCAAAAACAAGCTGCTAACAAACTGAAGGAATGGGTTATTTTAAAGAAATTCCTTTAAATTTGAGAAAACTGATAAACCACACACACACAAAAAAAAACTAAATAAATAAATAAATCTAATAATCTGTGTAAATGACAGCATGCATTACATGATGATTGGGTCTTATTCTGAGGACAAAGCAAAAAAAAAAGAATAAAAAACATTGATTTTATTTGGAATTGATACAATTAGTAAAACATTTACTAACTTCAAAAAAAAGAAGAAGAAAAAAAACAAACGTGGACAATAAAACGTTTGCCCACGTCTGTGTGTCTGTGTGTTGGTGGGTCTGTCTGTTCCAAAAACATCACAAACCACTCCATGAAATTTGATTCACTTTGCAGGAAGCAATCATAAATGAACATCCAACAGTGATTTAACTTTAAACCAGCTCAACATGACTGCCACAGCAACAATAAAAGCACAAACTTTTTATGACCCAGTGAAGTCTTATAAAAATTGATATCTTGTTAAAAATATAAAACAAACATTATTTATTTAGTGATCCTTGCACATTTTTTGGCACTAACATTGTGCAAAATATTTGGTGTCAACTTTGTTTGTTTGTTAACAAAATATTTCATTTTCCACTGAATGCATTTTATTGAAACTTTCAGTAAAAGTTTTTTTTGATAGACTTCTGAAACTGATTAAAACATGGGTAAATTTCAATTCAATTTACATTAAAAATGTATGTATTTGTAAGACCAATGGACAATACACTCAAACTGCTACATGTTGCTTGAGAGTAATACTCAAAACTTTAGCGCGCAGTTTTGGCTTCAAATGCTCAAAGTGTTTAAGTAAATGTATAACTTAGCTTTCACTTCAGCTAAATATTCTCCAATTTGTCCTCCCTTATTTGATACACTGACCATGATTAAGGAAGATAAAATGTTTCTCTCTACTTGACTTTACACAAAACCTACAGAGGAAAAAGGTCACCCCCACTGTGAGCGATTTACAGTATAGTGTGGACACCCAGCATGCAAACACAATTACACAAAGCTGCTGAGCCAGCCACACAAACAGACAARCAGTGCAGCAAAACAACCACACCACACCCTCATCAATGAAAGCATTGAAAATAAAATTATGTTTATGTTTAACATTTTTTTATGTCAGCTGCACACACTGTTTCCACTTTGCTGTTTTGTGTTTCACTGCAGTCAAAAGAAAAATCCAGGAGCTGTGCTGGCACAGCTTTGCACTCCTCCTCTGTCGCAGCACACACGGATCTTCATGCAGTTTTCATCTCAGCCACATAAAAATATCTGCACTTTAAATATGCATGCATGCACACAGATAGGCACTTATTGCTGTCGTGAAGACAGTGAAACCGGACGGAGGAACTGCAGAGAAAGTGTGTTCAGCCTCCCTGCAGGATYAAGCATGTGCTGCACTTTGAAGCTGAACTCCTCCTTTGTTTGGCTGCATGTTTACTCCAGTCAGACATACAGAGAGATTTCACAGGCTTCTCACTTTGCCAAAATCCCCCCCCCCACACACACACACACATTTCCTATACTCAGTTTTCTGCTAATTATTTTCAACATCTAAGGTTGACCTAGTTTTCAGCCAAAAATGTAAAAAAGAAACATCACTATACAATATCTAATAATGAGCTGATGTTCCGTGCCTTCACTAAAGATTTGCTGTCTGCTGCCAGGTTTTCAGGGGTGATTTTGTGAGAGTTGACCACGTGTTTCCTCCAAAACTAAAGACCATTTTCATCAAATATTGTGACACATCAGCAGATGAACTGCACCACTCCCCTCCCCCAACGCTTTTGCTCTCRCTCTCTCTCGTTCATCCGCTTCCGCTGCTGTTGCTAAGACCGAAGGGTGCAGGCTAGTCTGTGGAAACCAGTAGAGGTGGCTCTCCCAGTTTGTTGCCATGGGCAACGCACGACGTTTGCYAGCGGAGCAGCTCCAAATTCGAGCATGCAGCCATTCAGACATGCAAGGAAAWWTGACCCAGTTTTCTGTGTCTCAACAAAAAAAGCACAAGGATTGTGATCCCTGAAGCCTSTGTGTAGTGTGAAGCTTGTAAATTTACCATCTAGTCTTTCTTTTAGTTGTTGTTCTTTTGTTTTATTCATTCATTTTGTATTTTTACTTGATTATAGCATAGCATGCAAACCCTAATATATTTAGACATACTGTTTTTTTTTTTTTCAGTTCTACAAGACAACTGCGGAGGTATAAAGTATCGTAGCACCACCTGACTGGCTTCACATTGTGATTCACTGCACATGCGCCCTAGGGTCGCTCTGACCTCCTCTCTGTCTCAGCCGTTTACTGCCCACTGAATCACCCCAAGTACATCAGAATGCAGAGCTCCTCTCAGCCCTTCAGTAGCTCCTTTACAACACATGTAAACCTAAAATATAGAAAATAAAAAAGCAAAATAAAACAAATAAATATATACTGATTTTACAGTTCAAATAATATATTATTGTACTAATGTTAACACAATTTATATCAGATATTCTAAATCATAGAGAACTCATTAAAATAGATGTGAATTTCAGTTTAACAAAAAATACAAAAGTGGTGATGAATTAAAATATTTAGAAATTGTCCTTAAATCATTTAGAYGAAGAACATCTGCATATTTGCAAATTTATGAACAACATAGATCATAATGTGAAAGTGAAATGTTAAATGCTGTTGTCAAGACAGGAGACACAGGGCAGATATTTTGAAGAAAGTAATGAAAAGAGACAAAAAAGGCAGTTTTTGCTACAAAGTCTAATTGAATAGTTTAACTGTTGTTTTTAATTTACCTTTTTTTAATTAAAAAACTTTATTAGCCACATCCAGATAAGTATCCTTATGCCATCTTATCAACACAAAAACACTTTGTTAGATTATGTTTGCATCTATATTCCTATTTGAAGATTCTAAAAAAATAGTTTGAGAGTGTGACTTCATTTTTGCAGTGATAAACCTTGCACACAGAGCATGATATATCTAAATATGATGGACTATTTCCTACCTCCTCAGAAGTTTTCCTCCTGTCAGGTAACACCAGAGTGTTTGCATGACTTCCGGGTCCTAAAGTAGATCCTATACTCATCCTGGGTCCAACTAACATGTAGCGTTTGTCTCCAGATCTGTACTGGATGCTGTGACACAGTGTCCCATCATAATTAGCCTCCTGCAGATATTTAGAAGAATAGTCTGTGGATTTGGAGCACTGCATTGCAATCAGCACGATGATGCTGATGAGGAACAGAACTGACACTGAGCCCAGAGTGATGATGAGGTAAAAAGTCACATTATTGTCCTCCTCATCTTTTGCTGCACTTTTCACATCAGAAGCTGCAAAAGCCTCTTTGGGCTCCACCAGTTTGACAATGACAGTAGCTGTTGCTGACAGGGACACGTTGCCATTGTCTTTGACCAGTATGAGCAGTTTATGCTCAGCCTCGTCTGTCTCTGTGAACGAGCGAAGTGTTCTGATCTGTCCTGTGTAGCGGTCCAAACCAAACAGACTGTGGTCACTGACTTCCTGCAGTGAGAACAGTAGCCAGCCGTTATATCCTATATCAGCATCATAGGCTCTGACTTTAGTCACCAAGTGTCCTGCGTTCACGTTGCGGGGAATCTCCTCCACACCTTCAGCAGAACCGTTGGAGCTGACTGGATARAGGATGACTGGAGCGTTGTCGTTCTGATCCAGAATGAACACGTTCACTGTCACGTTGCTGCTCAGAGACGGAGCTCCAGAATCTGTGGRCACAACTTGGAACTGGAAAGTTTTCAGATTCTCAAAGTCGAAACTTTTCAGCGCAAAAATCTCCCCAGTTTCAGAGTTTATGTTCAGAAATGAAGTCAGTGTTTTATGGTCATCACCATTTCTTAAAATCTTATAAGAAATAAGGGCATTYTCAGCCTCATCACAATCCTGAGCACTCACAGAAAACAATGAGGCTCCCGCAGCATTGTTCTCAGTCACATAAAATGTATACGGACTTGTTGAAAACTCTGGGCTGTTGTCGTTCACATCTGAAATGATCACATTCATTGTTTTCTGAGATGACAGTGATTGTTCCCCAGCATCTTTTGCAACAATTGTCACTTCATATTTGGACTTCTGCTCTCTGTCCAACTTAGCTTTAGTGACCACAGAGTACATGTTTTCTTGTAAAGAAGTTGTTAATGTGAAAGGCACATCATCACTTATGGCACAAATGACCTTTCCATTTACACCTGAATCCTTATCACCCACACTTATTAATGCTACTGTCCTTCCAGGTTTGGAGTCCTCAGGAACTGAACTAGAAAAGGATGTCACTTCAATCTCAGGGATGTTATCATTTAAATCGACAATATTTATTATAACACTTTTTTCGGTTGCTAAAGGTGCTTGTCCTCTATCTGAAGCTTTTATGTCTAATTCATATTTTTCCTTTGCCTCAAAATCTAGCAGCCCTTTAACAATAATTGCTCCTGTATTGGAATCTACATCAAAGAGTTTACGCAATTTATCATTTACATTATTGCCAAATGAATAAACCACATCACCGTTTAAACCATCATCCAGATCTGTGGCATTTACCTGTATAATTGTAGTGCCAACAGGAGAGTTTTCATTCAGCACAGCTGTGTATGACTCTTTGTCAAACACAGGCATATTGTCATTTATATCTAAGACATCAACAATAATTCCCATTGTTCCTGATCTGGCAGGCTTTCCTCCATCAACAGCTGTGAGCAGTAATTTATGACTTCTCGCAGCTTCCTTGTCCAACGGTTTATACAAATACAAAACAGGAATTTTTCCATCCTGCCCTCTATCTTTTATCTCCAAACGAAAGTGATCATTTTGACTGAGCTTGTACTGCTGAACGGAGAACGTGCCACTGTCAGGATCTCGTGCGCCTTGCAGCTGAAATCGCGCTCCTGACAATGCAGATTCCGAGATTTCCAAACGCGTCTCGTTGTCCATGAACGTGGGGGAGTGGTCGTTCACGTCTAAAACCTCAATACCGACATAATGGACCTCTAAGGGGTTCTCCAGCACAGTCTTTATGTTGATAATACACGTAGTGATCTGTTCGCACACCTCTTCTCGATCTATTTTACGGCTGACGTGTAGAACTCCGTTACTGTTGAGCTGGAAAGGGGATTCAATCGATCCAGAAACAATGCGAAATCCTCGCGCTGTCAAAGCACCGGGCTCCAGTCCTAAGTCTTTAGCCACATTTCCAACAACAGCACCGACCGGGAGTTCTTCAGGGATAGAATATCGCAACTGCGCCAGAGTGAAATTAAGTAGAAGATTCTGAACAATAAAAATGAAGAGAAGGCGCTCCAGACACGCGCTGCGTCCTCTTTGTGCCATGGCGATGAAAAAAAAAAAGAAAAAAAAAAAAGCGAGACAAAAGCGAATCGGGAGATCAGAAATAAAATCTAAGACGGTTCATTCACACAACTTTAATAAATAAATAAAATGAAAAATATGTTAGGGTAAAAAAATCGTAAATGATTGTTGGTTTGTGGCAGATCCTCTGAAAACACAGGTGGACCCTGACACGTTAGCGCCGAACTGTTGTAGAAATGGATGTTCTAACGAAAGTCAGTGAATTTCACAAGAAGCAGAGACACCATGCGAGCTGGTGTTACACTGCATATGCTTTGTTATTAATTTAATTCGTACCGTTTATGTTTTTAATTCATTGGAAAAAAAATAAATACATAAAAATATATAATAGTGATTTAAGCTTGCAAAAATTAGATTATTATTAAAGTTGTCAAGAGTATATGAAATTGCTAATAGATAAAATAAAATAATAAAAACTATAACTGTAACATGTGTTTTCCAAATTTATGATATACCTTTACATTTCCATAAATGAAATGAAATAAAATAAAAAGAAAAGAAAAGAAAAGAAAAGAAAAGAAAAGAAAAGAAAAGAAAAGAAATCAGTATAGGTAACAAAGTCGACAAATATATTTTAAAACAACAACTGTCATGGGAAAATTTGATTAATTCACATATACTAAGACTATGTAAAGATAATATGTTTTAACTCAAATTAATCATATGCAACAAGGATCTATAAAAGTTTGAAAAGTATTTATACATGTATGTCTGCAACGGTTGTTTGGCTCAAATTCAGGACAAAGGACAGCTCCACAACCACCAACATCAGCCGCGAGGACTTCATCACAGTTTACACTGAACTCAAACTGAAACCATTCCTGCACTCATGAGGTAAACAGGACAATGAACAGCAGCTATATTTAAAATTAAGAACTTTAGGAATGTTTTATCAGATTCTGTTTTAACATATTGATAAATAAAACAAGTCATGACATATTTAAAAAATCGGTCTCTGGCAGCAAACATTTTTGTTTTAAGTATCTCTTACCTCTTCAGAGGTCTTCCTCCTGTCAGGTAACACCAGAGTGTTTGCATGACTTCCGGGTCCTATAGTAGATCCTATACTCATCCTGGGTCCAACTAACATGTAGCGTTTGTCTCCAGATCTGTACTGGATACTGTGACACAGTGTCCCATCATAATTAGCCTCCTGCAGATATTTAGAAGTATAGTCTGTGGATTTGGAGCACTGCATTGCAATCAGCACGATGATGCTGATGAGGAACAGAACTGACACTGAGCCCAGAGTGATGATGAGGTAAAAAGTCACATTATTGTCCTCCTCATCTTTTGCTGCACTTTTCACATCAGAAGCTGCAAAAGCCTCTTTGGGCTCCACCAGTTTGACAATGACAGTAGCTGTTGCTGACAGGGACACGTTGCCATTGTCTTTGACCAGTATGAGCAGTTTATGCTCAGCCTCGTCTGTCTCTGTGAATGAGCGAAGTGTTCTGATCTGTCCTGTGTAGCGGTCCAAACCAAACAGACTGTGGTCACTGACTTCCTGCAGTGAGAACAGGAGCCAGCCGTTATATCCTATATCAGCATCATAGGCTCTGACTTTAGTCACCAAGTGTCCTGCGTTCACGTTGCGGGGAATCTCCTCCACGCCTTCAGCAGAACCGTTGGAGCTGACTGGATACAGGATGACTGGAGCGTTGTCGTTCTGATCCAGAATGAACACGTTCACTGTCACGTTGCTGCTCAGAGACGGAGCTCCAGAATCTGTGGCCACAACTTGGAACTGGAAAGTTTTGATACTTTCAAAGTCAAAACTTTTTAACGCTACAATGGCTCCGGTTTCAGAGTTTATGTTTAGAAACGAAATAAGAATATTATCTTTGCCCGCTTCCCGCAAAAGTTGATAAGAAATTTGTGCGTTCTCATTTTCATCACGGTCAAYCGCTTTAACAGAAAACACAGCGGCTCCTGGGTCATTCCCTTCTGTCACATAAAACGTATAAGGACTCAGTAAAAARTCTGGCTTGTTGTCATTCACATCTGACACCARAACGCTAATTGTCTTTTCACAACTTAGTGATGGCTGACCTGCATCGTTTGCAACTACTGTTATGACAAAATGCGCCTGTGTCTCTCTGTCTAGAGATGATTTGGTAATTAAGGAGTACATTTTATCTTGTAAGGATGGAGATAATCCGAATGGAGCTTCGTTATTTATGGAACAAATAACCTTTCCATTCAGACCAGAATCTAAATCATTTYCACTGATCAGAGCGACAGTTGTTCCTGGTGGTGAGTTTTCAGGAATCGAACTGGAAAATGACGTCACTTCAATCTCAGGTGGGTTATCATTCAAGTCCACTATTTTAATATTTAAGTTCCTCTGTGCCGACAGAGGAGGGAGTCCTTTGTCTGATGCTTGGATTTCAAGCTGATATTTGTCCCTCTCCTCATAGTCTATCAAACCTTTTACAGTTATGTCACCCGTTGATGGGTCAATGTCAAAAAGCTTAAAGAATTTACGATTCACGCTGTTGCTAAAGGAATAAACCACCTCTCCATTCCTCCCGTCGTCTAAATCAGTTGCATTGATAGTTATAACCGCGGTGCCCAGCGGGGAGTTTTCCTCAAGCGTTACTGAGTAAACGTCTTTAGAGAACACAGGCGCATTATCATTTACATCCAGAACGTTTATTAAAATGTTGACGTCACCAGAATTCGGAGGTTTCCCCCCATCCAGAGCAGTCAGAACCAATTTGTGGCTGGGTGATGTTTCTCTGTCTAACGATTTCTGAACAATCAGGACAGGTATTTTACCGTCCTCTCCTGTGTCTTTCACCTCGAGGCGGAAGTGATCATTAGAGCTGAGTTTATAACGTTGAATGGAAAACTGACCCCCGTCCGCATCGCGCGCAGCCTGCAAAGGAATACGCACGCCGGGCAGAACTGACTCTGAAATCTCCAGTGTGGTTTCTTTCTCTGGGAAAGTAGGGGAGTGGTCGTTAATATCCAGCACTTCAACAGCAACATAGTGAACCTCCAGCGGGTTCTCCAGAACCGTTTTTAGATTGATTTCACACGCACTGATCCGCTCGCACACCTCTTCCCTGTCGAGCTGTCGGCTCACATAAAGGTTCCCATCGCTCTGATCCAGGCGGAAGAGAGGATCAGTCGCACTTGAAGCAATCCTGTATTTTCTGTCTTTCAGCGTGCGTTTATCTAAACCGAGATCGTTTGCTACATTTCCAACCACAGTCCCGTCCTTCACTTCCTCGGAGATGGAATATTTTAGCTGCGCGGAGGCAGCGCCACACAGAAACAAAGCCACCACACACCCGAGCCATCGTCCTCCCAGCATTGTTCCACGGCGTCCTGTTTGTCCCATCATCGAAACAAATCCATTAAATGCGTCGTGCAGTGATAATTAGTCCAACATGGCCAATTACACAAAAGCGCGAGATCACTCCGGGGAATATTACAGACAGTATACAACTCAGCGATCGGCTAACATTCAGCTGAGGGCTGGATGAAAAAATGGAAGAGGTGGAACTAACATGCAGTGACGAAAAACTGGACACGTTAATAAAGCAGCACACTGACGCCATGTGATGCTGTTGCTCACTAAATCTAAAATACAAGTGTGTAGGTTTTTTTTCCTCTTTATTTTACCTTGTGTATTATTAAAAATAATCACAGTCATATCTGGAAACTGACAAAATTGTGTCTGATTTAAAATATAATTTAAAATATATTGAGGCTTCAAACT